GAGCCAACCGGGCTGCAGAAATTCCCGTGGCTAAGAAAACAGCAGCAGCAGCAGCAGCAGCAGCAGCAGCGGGAGCGGGAGAAGAAGAAGAAACACAAAGAAGGAAGAAAGAAACAAAAGACTTCACGGAAAGGCAACACTCGTCAGAAAGAAATTTCTTCTTTTTCTTTTGCTTCTTCTCCCAGCAGCAGCCCGCAGCATCTCCCCCTACGCGTTGCTGCTGCTGGTGGCTCAGCCAAAGCAGCAGGTGGTAGAGGGGCAGCAACTTGCGGTGTACGTACAGCTGCTTCTGTGGAAGCCTCTGGTAAATTTTCTCCTGCTGTCATTTGTGTCGACGGCAGCAGCGACGACGACTCCAGTGTAGTTGAAGTGCAGCAGCAACAGCACCAGGAGCAGCAGCTGCTGCTGCAGCAGCAGCGAAAGCAGCAGGCACGAGAGGCAAACAGGCAAAAACGGAAAAAACGAAAACAACTCCAAGCGAGCAGACTAAGAGAGAAATTGCGAAAGTGTGAATAGCGAGCAGTTGACGCTTGTGAACGACCCTTCTCTCAGCAGCAGCAGCAGCAGCAGCAGCAGCAGCAGTAAGTTGAATGCTACGAAAATGTAGATAAACCTGCTGCTGCAGTTGATTGCTGCTGGCAGCCACGGTTGACTGCTCGGGCTGTAGAGCGGTGCAGTGCTGCAGCTGGCTGGTTTCGTTTGGGGCTTTGTTTGCATGCGTTTCTGCATGCGGACGCCGTCATATATCTACACAGGGAGAGGGTAGAGCTGCGTAAACTGAAATAAAAACGAAAGCGGCAAATGGGACTTGAGGGATTCAAAATAGAAACGGCGTCACAGTGAGTGAAGCGCATAGGGAAGCTGTTGCTACTCTCTCTCTCTCTCTCTCTCTCTCTCTCTCTCTATATATATATATATATATATATATATATATATATATATATATATATATATATATATATATATATAGCGTTCGAGGAACAAATACACAGTAGAAATGCAGGGGAACTGAAGTACTCCCGGTATATCTAGCGGGCACCTCAGCCTATGCAGCTGGGGCGCTAGCAGGCAGACCGACATTCTCTTTTTGTTTTACAAATGTAATTTTGAGTTAGTTTTATCTTTGGCATGTTTCGCCTGTGACGCGCAGCGTGAATATATTGTAAGCGATGAGTGAACCTCGCTGCAACCGTAGCGTAACCCTAAACCCTTCTGCCTGTCTCAGGCGTTAGCGTTACTTAAAGTAGTAAAGGAGCAGAAATATTCAACACATAACCAGAAACCAGAAACACGGTTGGCCATCTGTAGCGTAGCAAAGGAAACAAAAAAAACACAATTGATTGAACATCACCATTTAGGCAGTTTGAACTCAACCCGTTTGTTGAAACCTTAGAAATTCATGGCATGGCTTGAAGAAATTTAAAAAAACCCATATGAGGAAAAAAAAAAGCATATGCTTTCTTACCCTGTTGACTGCGGCGTGCCCGTGTGCAGCTGCTAGCAGTACGCCGGAGTGCAAGTAGCGCGAAATTTATGTAAAAAAAAAATGAATGCTTTATGAAACCAAATTTGAACAAGAAAGGCAGAATGATGGGACAGTTTATGAAAGGGAAAACAGACGAAATTAGGCGCCTGCTGCAGCGCGCCAGCTTCTAGTATTCACTTGCTTGCTGGGGTTCAATTCCTTTCGTGCATATTGACGCCATAAGCTGCACACCAGGTTTCTCCCAAAATACGGACAAGAGCTTTCTCCTGTTTGGCTATTGGGAGATTCATTTGGGGCAATTCAACTCGAACAAAAGTGGGGGCGCAGGGGTGTGGTGAAAGCGTTAAAAGATGCATATGTCGCTTTCATCATCTGCAGGATACACGCTGCACGTATAGACCACAAGCAGCCTGTCTCATGAAATTGTAGGAGATATATTTCCTCCGTGTTTATTTGATTCGGCTGCAGCAGATCCGCTCACAAATTTCGCCTGAAATAACTTGTGAAACGCGAGTTTGTCTCACGGATTCAGCTAAGCGTCATGAGACACAAGTAGGGGAACCACAAACATACCAACAGACAACTCAGCTTGATTGCCCATAAATATGAAGCACGAATTTAACATTTTTTACGTTTCAACCCCTCTTATAGTATTGCCAAAGCCAGGAGCCGTAACCCTGCTGAACCCCGCGTTAGATTCAATTTGTCATATTCGGATATCCGATGAATCGTGAAGAGAATTATTGTAGTGGTTTCAGTGAAATATATGAGGAAAACCTTCGCAGCTTGCCTCCGCGAGTTTTCGGGACTTGGACGAGATACCGCTAGCGGCCAGTCTATTCATTCAGCGACTCTGAAACTGCCGTTGTCTACCGTGGTATTAGCAAGTTTCTGATTTATATGCATTGGTTTTGATTAATCAAATGTAAAAAGCTGCATGAAACCACAAAAAAAGAAGATTCAGAAGGGGGCTGGGCCAGTGGCGGCCGTTGTCGGCTGCGACGGTCCGGCGCGTCGCGCCCATAGACTATTGAAGATGCTCGGGGGGAGGTTGTAGGGCTTTGGTCGATTGAAATATGTTTTGAAGGAAGTTTTGATTTTAATGTTGTTAGAGTAGACGCGTAAAGGGGATTCAAAGGACCTCTTGTGGTCTTTGGCCGAGATTTCTCCTCCCCTGTGGGGTTTCCTTGCAGGTCACCACCCTTTCCCATCTTAGGCAGAAAAACGACAGTTTCCCCAGGAAAACCCAGGAATATTTCTTTTTTTGTTGCTTTATAAGGAGTTCCAGAGAAGAAGAAGCTCCAAGAGAAGCGGTTTCCCCCGTCTCGGCCGTCCGCTGTCGGCAGCGAGCATTTAGAACTTAGACCATTCAAGTTTATTGTAAATTCCCCCGTCCTAGTTTGCATTTTACCTGTGAATAAAGCTTTATTTTTCATCTACGGAATCCATTTCAGCGGAGAGCAGTGCATGTAATGGGGCAAAGGGGAGGGTTCTTCCGCTTCCCACTTCCTCACCATTGACGGAGTAAACAAATACCCACCGCTCATGGGGAGCAGCAAAGGCCGCAACAGAACCGTCACATTGAACATAAACCAGCTGCAACAGCATCCCCTGCTGCGCTGGAGTAGCAACAGAGGCCCAGGAAGTGTTTCCTTGGGCGAAGGCTAGAGCAGTAGCAAATAGCAGCGGCATACACACCGTCGAACTGGTGCTGCCTCGCGATGAATTTCAGTTTCCTCCTCATTATACGGTAGCAACCGGATCTGAAATCACCCCTTTCCGAGGTTCATAAGAGTTTGCTGGTTAGGGGAAGGGTCTCAGACCTTCAACGAAGGTGGTCGCTGGTTTGTTGCCACCTCGAATTGACTTCTTGTGTTTAAACTCAACCAGGACAAAAGGCTGTTACTGCCGAACATCTTGCTTAATCGCTTCTATTTTTTTCACTAAGGAAAATGACTGTGCGGGCTCGGGTGTGGAGGGGGCTGCTGGCATTTTGGCGATTCTGTGGGGAACTCCTTAGCCAGAAGCACGGGGTTGTTGAGTCTATAGGTGATGGCTTTGCTTGGTGGGGCGGCCTCTGTTTCCGTCATCCGTTAAAGATAATTTGCGGATCTTTAGTCGCATGCCTCGTTCTTTCATCGGGGCTGCTTCCGCCTACCCCCATTTGGATCGATGGCGCCGAGCGGCTCTATACACTGCCTTTCTCTCGAGCTAGAGACGATGGAGTGTTACATGAGAACCTGTTTGGCGATGTCCACGGAAGGAAAAGTGTGGTGATCCTTACGCACAAAGTGAAAGGCACAAACATTCTCACGTGGCAGCACCTGGAGGAGGTGCGGCGCATTGACGCCATCATTCAAGGCAAAGACACCGACCCTGAGATGGGGAGAAAGCTGGTCATCCCGCGTTCTCCTGACGTCATCTCTAACGTCAGCAAGAACAGTCAAGAGGGTTCGGAGCCACTGGCCCCGGGGCAGCACAGCGTGACAGATGAATCCGCTTTCCTCACTTTTGAAGACGTCTGCCTGCGAAACGCCCTGGGCGGCTGTTCTGCTGAATCCATCCTTTCCTTCGGCTTAGCAGACTACAAAGCAGCGGGGCTAGTGCAGGGCGAGCCGGAGGTGTGGCTCTTCGGGGGCACAGCTTTCAATGTGCAGCAGGTCGCGTTTATCCCAGAGTACTATTTAGGAGGATTCACAAAGGAGGCGTGCGAGAGGCGAATGCCACGAGCAGTGGCTGAGAGGCTGCTGCCTCCCTCAGCCATTAAAGAACTCCCTACTCCTGAAGACGCATTTGTTCTTGGGTCTATTGAGTGCATCACCTCTGCTAGCGCGTTAATGTTACACTATGACGCCGACGGGCGACCCATGCATGAAGAGAGAAACGCCACGTGGGAGCGGCTGCTCATTCAGGTCCTCAAGGCGAACCAGACTCTGGGGAGTCTTCGGGCGCATTTCCAGGCGTTTCGGTCTCGAGACGACGAGCTGAAAGCTTCTACTGCGGAGTCTAAGGATGTAGTTTACGTGGTCTTCACCTTCTTTCTCCTCGCTAGTTACTCCACAGCCCTCAACTTCTCATGCGACCTCTACCGCTCCAAGCTGTTCAGCTCGCTAATGGGGTTCTTTGCTGCATTCATGGGGCTCGGAGCCGGAATGGGGATTGTGTGCTACATGAAGGTGGCTATGGTGCCTACTGTGCTTATCTGTCCTTTTTTAGTGCTTGGTATCGGCGTGGATGATGTGTTTGTGTTGCTGAATGCATATTGCATGGGATACACCACACATGATCCAGAACAACGGTGCATTGACACCCTCAAGTCGTCGGGTTTAGGCATCACGATCACTACTCTTACAAATCTTATCTCTTTTGGTGTAGGCTCCTTCAGCACATACCTTTCGATTCGGAACTTCTGCGTGTACAGTGCAATGGCACTGCTGCTGGGCTACATCTTTGTTTTGACCTTCTTCTTTCCCGTCCTCTGCCTCGATGCAAAGCGAGAGTTCTACTTCCGAATATCCCCTTTCTGTCTCCCAACCACATCGCAGCTCCACCAGAAACTGGAAGAAGAAAAACAACATATGGGCCCCGCTGAACTGCACGTGCACAACGTGTTAAAGTCAGTTTCGCAGGAGGAAATCGTCGCCTACCGAGTAAATGTCTTCTTTGAAGAACAGGAACTGCGAAAACGAATGAGAAAAGAAGAACGCGAACGGAGGAAGCTAGAGGGTCAACACCCAGAAGCGTCTGCAGCACAGAAGCCCATCTATTCCCGAGTTGCCGCCTCCATTCAGAGGTTCTTCACATACGCGTAAGGGCTTAAAAACATCATTTTCCCTTGCTGTGTATTGTTCCTAACATGCAGACACCAATAGCGCGTCGACCGCCCACTTGTGCTGTCCTGCTGCTAGGGCTTATAAGTGACAATGGCGTTGTGCTGTTCAACGCAGACTGCGTAGAAAACATCAGTCTTGAGCTATGACAGTGCTGCACACAATCGGCTATGCACTATACTAGGAGAGGCTCGAGCACCGCCTCTGTTTTATGCTGAGTTTCCGGGGCATCTGTATGCTTGGCGCGCAGAGCCTCCCAGCACTTAGGTGTGAAGCATAAGGGCTCAGAGGTAGTTCTGAAGACAACTGTCCGAGGCCTGAACCCACAGCTGGCGAGGCATGCACTCTACGACGAGCCTCGGGGGTCGGTAGGGCGTCGATGGAGGACATTTTTCCTGTGTTACTATGGGCCATTCTTGATGAAGAAGCCTGTTAAGGTGAATATTGAAATAAAGGCAGAAGCAAAACAATTGATTTGGCTGGCCCTGCTTGCCTGCTGCACTGGCAAACTATCTGGGCGAAACGTTTCGCAGCAGAAACACCAGCAGCAAGAAAAGACCGTTGGACGGAGGAGGTGCTGCTGCCAAAAGCATATTCAAGAATACGGCTAAGAGGCTGATAGTTGTCTGCTGGGTTCTGCTGCTGTGCGTGCAGATTGCAGTGCTGGTGATTTTCCTCACTATTGCTGCCGTTAGCATTTTCGGTTTTTCTAAGCTGGAGTTGGGTCTTGAAATATCTGAACTTGCTCCTGTGACGTCGTACATGAGGCGTTTCGACGAGGTGTACGCGGAGTATTTCAACAAATTCGACCAGCCAACGGATATATTCTTTCTGCCCACTCCTCCTTCTGCTTCTGAACAGACACCGCAAGATCGGGCTGTTGATGTAGATTTGTTGAACCCGGATGAGTTCCTTGCCAGGGGGTACAACAATGCAGAGACGCACGAGCAAAAGCAGCAGCAACCCCAAACGCCGCAGTGGTGGAAACCCGAAGTACAAGCGGCTCTGCGTTTAGCGCATCACCGCATTGCCTCGCGGCCCTCCACCTCTCGGCTCATCAACCCGTTGTTAGCAATGCTCGATGACCCGGAAATAGGACCAAAGCTGCGTCAAGGAGACAAGCAGGCAAGCGGGATCTCATGCTGTTGCATGAATCCTAGCATTGCGCGGCACGCACAACAAATCCTTCTTCACTGTATTGACGAGTTGAATAAACCCTAGGTGGCAAGGAAATACGAATGCGTACAATCTGGTGTCTGCGTATGATGCACGTTTGCAGATTTTCCTGGACACTCTGTACTACCAGCTTATGCAGGCGGGATCTCCCTATCGTCAGTTTGCTCTTGACTTTGTGTGGAGTGGATCTGAGTTGAAGACATACCGCATGCGCTTGCTACCAAAGTACATGGCTCGATCGGAGCAGAGGGCCTTCTGGATGCAACAGCTTAGACACGACTGTGATGCAATGATAGATCCGAAGGCACAGTTAGACAGCATGCTAAAGGAGATGGAACAGCAAGAACTCTCAAACGACCCAGACGTCCTCTACGAGCAACTGCAAATGCAGCGAGATCTCGAAATGTTGAAAAATGTACCCATTGCGCCCCTCAAGATTGCGTCCTATACCTACATGATGGTGTTCTATGAGAGTGATCTGGGCATCCTTAGCTCCGTCCTCATCAACATGTTGTCTGCAGGGGTGGCAATGTTGCTGGTGAGCGACGGCCAAGGCTTTTACTTGAACGCATAAGCTGTGGATGCAAGCTCTCAACAGGCAGCAAGCAGCAGGGATTATGCTCTTGTGTGTAGTCTCTGGTATTTTTACATCCGAATCAAGCATCTTCTATTGAGATGTAGGTGCATTCAGTCTCTACCTGCAGAGGCCTTGCTTTCTGTTTGTGTATTTGGTGGTTAGGTGGCATTTATTCTTATTCCAGAGCTCAGCGCAGGTCTTCTTGTGATTCTGATGATTTGCCTCATCGACTTGGCGCTCTTCGGCTTCATGTATTTCTGGCACGTAAGTCGAGTATACAACAGTAAAATTAGTAGAAGAAGGTTCAACACGAGTTGACTGGCTGGCCGCTACGGGAAAGAGTAGAGAACGCACTAGTGCGCGTCCTTATGTTCTTTGACTTTTCATCTCCTGTTGCGGCTGCTGCTGGGGTTGCTGCTGGTGTTGCTACCCCTCATCAGCACGCAGCGCCATTGAGACCAATAAGAAAGCGATGTCCAGATAGGCAAACATCGGAAACGAGGTATTATGATCGCCTTGTCACCATCAGGATTTGCAAGTATAATGTGTAGTGCATACAAAATAAGCGTTTTCATATACAGTATTTGTGTATACTGTGTCTACGGCTCTGCGTAGGTGAAGCTACACATGGTGTCGACGATTGCGCTGGTCATTTCAATTGGATTTGCAGTGGACTACTCAGCTCACATGTGTCACTGCTTCACCCACTGTCTAGGGAAGACTCGCGACCAAAGGCACGTCAACACTGCGACACCCCAGCAGCATTCTAAAAATTTTTTTTCATATTCGCCAGCAACATAGAACCCTTCACAAAA